ACATGCTTTTCATGAAGACATCATCTTAGAGTTTTACTATTTTTAATTTTAATTATGCTATATATCACATGACAAGTAAGTCAGTAACAACAATCGGTTGGCAAAAATTAGTGTTGGGTCCTACGACTTGATGAAGAGAGCATGTTGAAGAACAAGGGCCAACAGTCGATGTCTTATAATAAACCAAAAGAGTTGAGACATCATTATTGAAACACAAAGCAAATGCAAAAGTATCATAGAAATATAAAATTAAAGTTGAGGTTTGGGAGAAAAATATACATACATCTCATTTCATCTTGATACAAATCTTCACTAGAGAGATATCAGCTGAGACACAGAGAAATCGAAGTCGGGATGAGATCTTGGTAAGGAAGGGGATCTTATAGTCGCCAAAGCAGAGTCGAATTCGGATAATGAGAATGGCGCGTGTTTTCAACCTTATATCATAAATCAAACAATGAATTTGGATTTCCATAAATGTAGAATGAAAGATAACGAAAAATGTATGTTTTTCTTTTTTGTCACGAACACACTTCAATATAAGTTATACAAAAACATTGTTTATATCAGAAAACCAATATGGAACAGAAGTGCCAATATAGGAGAAAACTATATTCCGCGTGCGCGCCGACCTTGCAAGTAAACCCGCCCTCTTGTTTTCCTTCTGTTGCCGGTAGATGAGTTCGAATTCCAAGAATAATTCCCGAAGGTCCGCCAAATCACGCAATTATGGTTGATAACCAGGCCAGTCGTGCGGTGTTGTCACCATTTTCACTAACTTTGTTGAGTCAGTGAAGAACGTAGAGCAAACCCGTCGTTTTCGGATTAGACATCGCATGGCCCAGAGTAGGCTATGAAGCTCCATGTGGAGAGGTGAAAGACTTCGGTGGTTTCCTTCGAGTCCCAATAGATCTGTCGTGCCGTCCTGGAGTTGTAAAACCCATCCCACTCCGCTTGTCCATCTATCGGGTGTCCACGCCCCGTCAATCGAGCACGTGAAAATATCCTAGGGTCTAGGTGGCCCAAGCAGAAAAGGCGTTGGGGTTGCTTGGGAAGAAAGATTGGCCCCAACCAGTCCTTAGAT